TTTTAGGCGAAGTCACTACAGTTCCACTGGATACGGCATAACCCCAAAAATATAAAATAAAAATATCACATTAATAATGTCGATTTGGATAAATGTGTTATCAATAAATGATTATCATTATTAAAATATTTTGTCTTATTTATTTTTGATTCCTAAACCTTAAATAATATTATATCCATTGTTGGGTTAACAGAGCATCAAAGGTGCAGCTTGAGCGTAAAGAGAATAAGTATAAATAGCACTAATATAACCGCACCTCAACAACGCCACATTTATTGAATCTGAGATGTTTGGAATAAATAGAGATAGATAGCAGCTCACCAACGCAACAGTTTACAAATATACGCTGCCCGTTGATAAGATTTTACGAAGTGCATTCAATTTTTGTTTCACTCCCAGTCCAAAATAGAAGACAAAAGGTCACAACCTAATTAAATACAGTTTAAAGTAGTATACCTAGTAATAATTAAGTATGGTATAAATATCGAATTTAATCGAATCTAAATATGACATAACCTTAAAATGCTTACGTAATTTAATATTTTCTTTAAACCACTACTTTAGTTTCTAATGATATTTTTCCTACGCAATATACACCTGATTCCCTATTGTTGTACACTTATTCCAATAAGACGCAATGAAAAAAACTTAGCCCAACTCCCAAAGTAAAATGACCATTCTCCTTTATTGATATAATATTATTATATGAATCTATTGTATCAATTTTAACCAAAGGAGCTAAGACTACTGCGATTTCCCCATCTTCAAAACGTAAATGCAAAAACATTTCTGGTTGGAATATTTATGTGAAAGATAGTCATAACTTGTACAAATTACACTTTGAGTCGTGGATTACTGCTGGTAGACCTTGTTCAGGACCTATTTACGATAGCATGTGTTGCAGTAGGAAGAAGTTTAAAAGTAAATTAGCTTGGTGTCAAAAGAATGAAGAGAAAATAAAACTTGACATATAAGCGTATTCTTGTAAATATAAAATTGTATAGGGGTTTTCAACAAAAACTTTGTTTTCTAAAACAAGATTTTTTTATTGAATTACAAACAGGAAAGTTCGGCAATTATGAACGAAAACTGATATCTTGCAAATGTCCACCACGAGCACGCTGTCAGATGTCGATTCTTTCATCAAAGTTTTTAATCACTGTTTGGCAAAATGGCGGGACTATTTCGTTAATCACATCATGGATTTTGAGTTTTAAGGCTGCAATCGATTCGATTGTCCCCGTATACACTCTGTCCTTAACATAACCCCACAAAAAATGATCTAGTGGTGTTAAATCACATGATCGGGCTGGCCACTTAACAGCTGAGTTTAGTGAAATTATGCGATCGGGAAATTTGGTTTGCAATGAAATGATCGATTCATTGGCTGTGTGACATGTGGCGCCGTCCTGTTGAAACCACATATCAGTGATATCCACGTTAAAAATTCGCCATTTGGTGGTTCTGGATAACCCCAAATGTTGAGAACGTCGCAGAATTGACAAATTTGGATCTGGCTCAACACTGTGGCTCACGGCTGCTATGCTTTCAGTTGAACGACCCGGTCAAACACGCGATGGTGTTGGCACATTTTGTGTCGACCCTGTCGACTCAAATTTAAGGACCAAATTCTTAATAGCGGTCTCAGCAGGACGATTATGTTGTCCGAAAATATCACGAATTTGACAAAATGTAACTGTAACAGAACCACTATTTTCATAGTGGATTTTAATTATTTTAATTCGATTTTCAAGCGAAATTTAATTCATTGTAACAATTGCCAATGCATCTTCTACGAATATGTCAAAAAACTAAATGTGGAAGAACTTGTACGAATATTTGAGTTTTGGTACGGAAACCAAACTAACTACGTTTGCTGGGGCGACGCGACTTCCAATAGCTATAGGTTGGAATGCGGTGTACGTCAAGGCGGGCTCACATCTCCGGATCTTTTCAACTTGTATGTGAATGACTTAATGGGACGACTGAGGAGCACCAAATTTGGATGTCACGTGGGTGGGACCTGTGTTAACAGTCTTAGTTACGCTGATGACATGGTGCTCCTGAGTCCTTATATTAAGGGCCTTAGGAAGCTACTTTCAGTCTGTGAGAATTATATAAATTCCCATGGTCTGAAATACAATGCTCAAAAAACTGAAATGTTGGTATTTAAGGCAGGAAAGGGTCCGGATAACATGCCTAATGTAAAATTAAACGGTACACCTGTTCGGGTTGTAAGCCTATTCCGGTACCTGGGACATATACTGACCGAAGATATGAAAGACGACGTGGACATAGAGCGTGAAAGAAGGGCGAAGAAATAAGTATTTCAATTAAATATATGGTGTATATAAAATACGACTTAATTTCAGTTTTCTTTGTACATTATTTAGCTATTATTGATGTGTATATATTTGTATAAGGCGCATGTTTACCTATAATGTCATTCATACATGAAAAAATTAACACTCATGTAACTTCAACAAAATGTAATACTTTCTAGTATCTTTACAGTTGATAAGTTTCCAATTCCAGAAGCTTTTCAAACTCTTTCTACTGACTTTTGGCTTAATCTGACTTAAATTTAATTTCAAAATCTACTAAAAAACTGCTGATATGCTGTCAATTGTACATTCCCGAAGAACACTTTTAAAGTATAAATCTAACGGTCGTACTCAGAAACGTCAATTAACTTTTAAGATTGATTACAGATAATGCTGTCACTTTTAAGTCTATACCACCAATAGGGTAAATTTTAAACAACTGCTTTATTTATTTAAATTGAAATTATTTTATTGTGTTTATTAATTTAAATTAAATTACTTAACACTGAAATTTTGAACCTAGAAAAGAATATTTCATGATTGTTGGTTCTTAGGCTAACTATGTACGGACGCTGAACAATGTCCTTTCGTGTCAAAGTTTGTATGAGAAATCATCCAAGAGTGCATAGGATTGATTAATATTTTGCACACCTACTCTGTGTAAAATAATAATAATAATAAAATCATTTATTGCAGGTAGCTAAGACCCATATTTAAAACATGATACAATATAAAAACTAATTAAAAATACATTTACATTATTATAATACAACGTCAATCTTCTATTTGCGATTCCCATCCGTGTGCACAGATAGCCAATATCTATTGGATTTAAAGAAAAGTTTACTAGAAAAAAATCCACGAGGACCAGGCAGCGGACGGGACTCGAACCCGCATCCTTCGCTATCCGGGCGAATGCACTGACCATTATGCTACCACAGCCCTATTAGCCGCGTCGAAATTTTCCTAGCCTTAAGCTGCAAGGCAGCGCCATCTCTTCGCATTGTAGGCAACCCACAATGTCAAATGAATACTTTTTCAAGTATTAAACATTTGAAAGAAGAAATAGCAATTATAGTTATGATTTTATTTATTTTTTGCTGCCTGGTCCGCGTGGATTTTTTTTCTAGTAAACTTTTCTTTAGATTTAAACATCTAGCAGTTAAATGCTTAAAAAATAAATAAAATCATATCTATTGGATTGTTAAAATCCGTGTACAAACATTTTAGTATGCGGTTACCAGAGCAACGCAGTCCCTCCCAAAAAGAAGCTATGCGCGCCCTAATAACAGCATAAAAGTCCGATACCCTAGCCTCCGCAAACATTGTAGAAGCACTGCAAAATCTCGGCAGCCCATCAGAATACGAAAAATATCGTTATATTGAACCCTGTGTACGACCTCCTGCTGTACTTTATCCACAGTTGACTGGTGTAGAAACTGACACAATAGGCATTGAACAGCGTCAATTTTACCTGCCTGCTACACCGACTAAACCTACGGGCGACCATATTACCCCGAACAGCTCTTCCACACAACAGGAAATCCGAAACGGGAATGCACTTTCCGGAATATTAAACTACTCTTCGAAATGCACGAATGCCACAGATTACTATGAAACTGCATGCACCACAACCACAGAGTAACAAATTTTTATGCCGGCCCTTCACTTGACAAAAGTTTGTCCTTGTCATGCTTAATAAGGAATGAAAAGGACAGACTGATGTCATGTTTTAAAATAGAAAATACGAATAGCCAAGTGAAGTGCCGGCATTAGGAAGAAAGAGTGTTTTGTTTGCAGCGCTGCCATAGATTATACACATAAAATGGTATTTATTGTCTCAGATTATTTTTTAACTTTTTAATTTAGATTACTTAACTGGAAGTGTCCGTCATAATCTAAATACTGATAATTATCGCAAAAAATATACTAAGAATTATCATAAATGATAAATTGATGTTGGTTCTTAGGCCAATTTAAACATTGTCCTTTGTAATTTATTGTTATATTTTTTTGTAACAGGCTTAGTGTACATCTATTCAATAATGTTTATTTAAAATTTGCAGTGAATAGGTAATATTTTACAAGAGAAAGTTTCGGCTGTGCGTTGTAGTCTGTCAGTCAGTGTATCCTTTTCTCTCTCTTTATATAATAGTATAGATTTTCTAAAGATTATTTCATGGTTGAGCTCAGTAGAATATCGCCTAACAGGGGCACGAATAAGAGTGGAAACTAATAATAAATATGGTAAATATACATAATTTGATGACAATGGTCGTTTTTCGATAATATTTTCTACCGTATATTCAGCATACAAATCAGTGAATTTTTTTTTCATGTGCTTGCTTTGGATCACAGACAACTCTAACGTTGCCTGTAAATGATCTAAGGGTATGTAATATAAGTAGATTTAAAATAAAATTAACTATTTTCAATAGTTTTTTTACAGAAATAATTTTTGATGAAGTTCATTTTGTTGTATTAACTAGGGTTTTTAATATCGTTTTATGTTAATGCTATATTACCTCTCTGCTGCTGACAACTGAATGATCGTATCGAATCTCTTTTAGTATTTCTTAGGCTACAAGGCAGGCAGCGATTTTTTTTTAGTATTTTTTTACTTTTGATTTATAAATTGGTTAAAACAAAATGTATAATAAATAATGTTTTCTTTAGATTCTGGTGGGGTTGTGCCGGGATGCAAGTATTATTGTACGTTCAGCTGCCATCAGTGCGCTAGGTGAACTGTTAATCAACCTACCGTGTGATGCGGTTTTTGATGCGTTCCTGTCTGGACCTATGCACCAGCTCTCGGATCCTGAGAACAAGGTAAGATCAAGGCCTATTTTAATGCCACTACCTGTGTTGACTTTATAAAGGTGCTCTAGTCCAGAAAAGTAACCGCGGGGAATGACTTTTAACAATAATAACTCCAGAAAAAATATATTGATAAAGTGATGCAATTCCAGTTGATAAGACCGTTCTTATTACTTTACTATTTTTAGAGGTTTTTGTTAGACGAAAGATTACATGAACCAATAAAAAGACGAATCGTCTATGGCACCTCAGGAGTTGACATTATGTTCTTTTTGTACACCGCGTCAGAAATAAAGTGCGGGAGGGATATTTATTAATATCCTACCAGCGACTGCCAAAATAGTTTTACGATACCGTGACATAAAACAAACATAAGACGCGATGGAAAAATTACTTTACACGAATTTAACAGTTCATTCACTTCCGCAGGCGAACTCTACTGTGGTGATATTTCCACCCGCGCCGGATAATAAGATAACGTAGTTGTGAAATTCATTTAAAAAACCATTCCCTTTTCTGCGTATTGATATTAGCTTCACTTGGAGATACCAAACAACTTTTAAGTTTGATTAAGGTTGGTGCGGTCACCGTCTCTGCGATAACAGTAGAATAGGGCAACACATGACTTCATGAAGCATTATATTCAATTACGATTTCGACTGCGTGATTTTTTACTATACAAAGTTTGACCCCTGTTTTCAACCCCTCTATGGATGATTTTTGAGATATATTCCATACATCCTTCCCCGGGACTCAAACCATCACTATGCCAAATTCCATCTAAATCGGTTCAGCGGTTTAAGCGTTAGGAGGTAAGAGACAGGCAGACACATCTTTGCTTTTATAATATTAGGCATTAGTACAATAGGGTATTTGACAGTATTAAAAATAAAGTGCCAATTGTTAGCATCTATATTTAGAATGAATATTGGCAGATTTTACTATTTTTACAGAAAAAATATTCATAATTTTACTAAAAACCCACGATAAAAATAATAGTTTTCTTGTCTATTGTCACGTGACCCTATACGTTTTGGATTGGTGGAGCCTAAAATGACGTCACACGCAAGTAAACTTCCGGTTAAAGTGACATTTGATTATATGGTTTGACGTTTTAATGACAGTCGTGTGACGTCACACACCAGTGGGCCGCCATATTGTCCAGAGATACGTTTTCCGCGGCAACTTGAAAATAGAGTTTTTGAATTAGTTTTTTTACCGAAATACACAATATAATGATGAATATCCACTTTTTATGGACTCTATAAACATTAGTGATTAACGTAAGATCGTTTTCTAAAACTTGTCAAATACCCTATTGACGGCTCTGAGTGCGGCTGTAAAGATTTTACTGCATTTTAGAAAGAAATCATCCCTTGATTTTCTCTAAACGTTAGGTCCAGGAGCAGGTAGTGTCACTGGTGCAACCAGTGCTAGTGGACCGGTTCCGCAAGTATGATAGTGAAGCTGCGGAGGACTCGTTGCCGTGTCAGTTTCTCCCTCCTTTTCAACACCTTTAAGAATGATTTCTGAGATATAATCTATACTATCTCCTTCCCCGATACTCAAACCATCACTATTACAAATTTCACCTAAATCGGTTTAGCGGTTTCAGCGTGAGGAGGTAAGAGACAGACAAATTTTTGCTTTTATTATATTAGGCATTAGTAGAATTGACGGCTCTGAGTACGGCTGTAAAGATTTTACTGTATTTTAGGAAGAAATCATCCCTTGATTTTCTCTAAACATTAGGTCCAGGAGCAGGTAGTGTCACTGGTGCAACAAGTGCTAGTGGACCGGTTCCGCAAGTATGACAGTGAAGCTGCGGAGGACTCGTTGCCGTGGCAGTTTCTCGCTGCCGTCACCCGACACAACATGCGCAGGCATCTGCAGAAAGCCTGCACGCTTCTTTCCAAATCTGGGAACTCTATCAAGTAAACTATTCAAATTACATATTATTACTTTTATGACATACAGGGTGTAAAAAAACCACTGACAAAGATTGAAACTAAGCATTCTGTACACCCAAAAAAGTTATATTACAAAATATAATACGTGGGAATCATTTGTATTTTTAAGTTAACAAAATACATTTTTTTTCAAGTACGCAATGTATAGTGCGTGCGCTCCTATAGCGCTACGGAAAGATTGTGCCTGTGTGTATGTGTGTGGTGCGTCAGTAAAAAAGTTTCTAAATAACGTTTTGAAAATATTAATGTATAAATCTTCAAAAAAAATTTGTGACTTTGACCTTCAATATCTCCATAACCATAAATTTCCCAGGTATGGTCCAGAAGAAAAAAATGATCGTTATGATTTGGAAAATACGTGGCCTTCGACTTCGTTAAATGATTTTTTACACCTCTTAGGAAAATCGTCATAATTTGTAAACAAAGTAAGCACTGTAGGCTTGTATTATGGGATACTAGGGTAACGGATAGAATACATATACTGAGACATATATAAGTATATTTATGTAGAAATACATATTAAACATCCATGACTGGAGTCCAAATGCTTGTATTCATCACACAAACATCTGCCCCCACCGGAATTCGAACTCGGGACCTCTCGACAAGGCGACACCCTGAAACCCGGCGTACAAACCACTCGTCCACGGAGGTCGTTAAATCTAGGAACTCTTACAAGTAAACTATTCAAATTACAATTCATAATTACCTTTTTTACATTTATTTATTTATGATACAGCGACAGAATACAAATTGCAACTTACACATTCAAATTGGAAATTATTGTATTACATAAACTTGCACCTCAATTGATGCTGAACACGACATTTACTTTAACTGACTTGGAAAAAAATATATACAATTACAATTATTATATGGAAGAATTAAATATTTATGTATTCATTAAATAATAATAAAAATCAGTTTAATTTTAATTTACTCCTGCATATTCATAAGCGGAATGAGTGGAAAAGGGTTACATATACAGTAATACCGCGTAATCAGGCTTAATCCAGCGCCCCCTGTAATCCGATACGCTTATCGCTGTTAATAGTCCATGAATATAAATTCAATTAGATTTTTTGATTACTATTTTGTCGGTTACAAGGTACTCTTATTCAAAAATTGTTAAGTGACGTCATTCGAAAATCTACAGTATTAATTTAATATCGACCTAATTAATACTGTTACAAAAAGGTACTTTAACTAGTGCTACATATTTATTTGTAAAAGACTATTATTATAGGTTATATATCGTTATGTACTCGCAGCAGCAGCTTGTGCTCGCTATCGCCTTTCAATTGAATTAACTAGACGTGTCGTTGATAACTGTAGACAATATAAAGACTACTGTACTACTATTTGTTGCTAAGCATCCTACTAATATTATAAATATGACAGTTTGTATGTTTGTTACTCAATCACGCAAAAACTACTGAATGAATTGGATGAAATTAGGTACGCATATAGTTATGATCTGAATTGAGACATATGATACTTTTTATCCCGGAAAAAGATAGGTTCCTGAGGGATTGTCAAAAAACTAAAGTTGGCGGGGACGAAGTTGCAGGTGGCCGCTGGTTGTTAATTGTACTATTTTTATAATTATCTATTTCGAAGTTATTGCTGTCACGTTCTTTGCTATGATAATAGAGTAAAACAACACACGACTTCAAATTTATTAGACGCGTTTGAGTAAGGCCGTTTAACTCATGGAGGTATAAGAATAGTGAGAAAGGCGGCTCTAAAAGTGTCCGTCTAGTAGAAAGAGAAAGAAAATGAGAGACTGCTAGCTATCTCTCTCTCACTCTCTTGTGATGCATACGCAGTCGTCTGTGCAATAGTTGGTCGAAGCATCACATCGAAATAGTAAGATGCTTACAGTTGCCAATGCGCATGCGCGATTAGAGAGAGAAATCTAGCGGTCTCTCATCTTCTTTCTCTTTCTATTAGAGGGACACTTCCATTTGTAGTAGAGTCTATATCTCCCCTACTCTATTCTTATACCTCTATGGTTTACCTTCCGAAAATTGTTGTTGCAGTCATCGTCTAGTGGATATAATAAGCACGCACCTCAGCGCTGTGAGCGACGAGCGTGATTTGCAGTGTTTAGTTATATTGACGAGCGCCGCTAGACATTTGGACTACTCAGATGTCACCTTCGTCCTCGACTACTACTACAGGCTTAGCGAAAGCACTCAGGTATGTTTTTTGGAGGAGCTCAATGGCGCAGGTGGTTAACGCGTTCGCCTGCGATCGTTGAACTTAAGCAACTTTCGCGGGGGTCGGTCATTGAATGGGTGACCAAAAATCTTTTATTTCGAGTTCCTCCGTGCTTCGGAAGGCACGCTAAGCCTTTGGTTCCGACTGCATCTGCAGTCGTTAGCACCCGCCAATCCACTGGGCTGCGTTAGTGGGTTATGGCCCAATCTCCCTATTCCGTCCATAGGGAAGGCCTGTGCCCCAGTAGTGGGGAGATTAATACGCTGATGATGATGATTTTTTTGTTCTTTGTTTATTTAGAGGCTTTCATTCTCCGAATATGCCAGCCTCATAGTACCCTTACCAACATATGTGAAAATCGGTTCACTTTGTTACATAGTTCACAATAGTGAAAATCAGCTCCTTCTTCATCACATGTGCAATTTTCCTAGAAGGATAATGATTAATGACCAGATGGTAATTCATGAACAAGAACGATATAAAACCTTTTTAATTTGGTACTTATTCAATTCCATATCATAGATATAACTGCACATTACAAGTAAAAGTTACCTTAACAACAATCAGGTGCCCTCAGGTATTTATCTAATTTCTTATCATATACATGTCTATAGATGAAAATTACCTTAGTAACAGTAAAACCTTAACTAATCCAAGTTAAAGTGAAATTGTATTAAATCAAATCATAACCTCTTTGCATTTTAGTCCTTAGCTTTATTGTATCATAGAAAACGGGTACACACGAAAGAATTTTTTTGTATTTGATTCAGATGACGAACTTAAAAACAAATAATTTCACCGATCGGTCGCCCATGACATGTTTGTTTATGCGCAATGTATGGTTACTGTATTTGCTATTTGTAAACTTGATAATAGTCTCTCCTTTTCATTCCTTAAAGTCCATTCCCGGTAGCATAACCAGCACAATTTACGATAAATCAAGTTTTTTTATCGCGTCTAAATGTCAAACTCCATAGTAATTTGACAGTTGGGCGTCATAAAAACGAGCGATATGTCATAACGCAGTGCTCATGCTAGGGGGGCACGATGAGGACAAAGTTTGCCAAATTATAAAGGGCAAACACGAATAATTATGTGAATAAAATGAAATGTGATTATCAATACAGGAACGTGACGTTCGTCTTATGCCATTGACGCTGGAACTGCTCAGTACGTGGTCGCGGTTTACTACTCTCGAAGCCCGCAGCGCTTTGAGAGACCATCTTGTTAAACGACTGGCATCTTCTGGGGACGACGGTAGGTCTTCTCGTTTATTGCGTCTTACGTCTAATTTATACCGCAATAAAATGCAATGAAACCGAATTTTTGCATAGCTTATGAAATGTGTCAATTGTATGACATCCCACTAAAAACATAAATGTAAAAAAGGAGAGCCAAGTTCAATACAAAAATTATGCTTGGCTGTGGGCTTCGCCGCAAAAGAATGGAGATCTAAATGAGTGCCAAGTTCTATGCAAAATCCAAAAATGTATTTATAGGAACAAAATAACATTATGAACAAGTATTAAAATATATTGGATACCTATAATAATTGCTGTTATTTAAAAATGTGAGATCTTAAAGTAGGTTAGATTTGACTTGGCCAGTTTTTATCAGAATTAAAATATATATGCATTATATGTTGAATAACTTTATAAAATTACTGCTGTAATGAAAACTTTATTTCAAACCTATTATTATAAATTTAGCTGTTTTTGCTTTTTGTATCCTAGGTTGTCGGATAGCATGTGCGGAATTAGCTGCACAGTTGGATCCCAGTAATCTACTGTGGGCAACAGAATTAATGCAACTTTGTAAGTGTTTTATAACAATCCGTATTAATTAGCATAACTTATTTATTTATTTAAATATTAATTTATTAATATAATTTTTAATTTAAGTTTAAAACAGTTTTTTTTTCAGTCAGGTGACGAAAAAGCATATTTTTCGCCTATTGGTAAGCGGCGGTGAAGTCTTTGACTTCACTCACTTCATCTTTTAAGCAGTGGAGATCTGAAAAATTTAGTAACCTCAGCACTTATATTAAAACAAGAACGGAAGATACGGTACGCTTATACAAGCATCAAATAAAATATGATCTGACTCAACACATATGTAATTCTCACACACGCACACTGTCTGTAAATAACATTCAATCGAGCGAGCGAGACAGAACTGTACGCTTTAACGCAGCGCGAGCGAAACGGCGAATGAGCTTCCCAGAGCGAACGGCTGAGCTGTATTGTTGTCCTTTTCTTGATAACAAAATGGCGATTACGTAAATAACATTCACGATAAACCGTGATTTTTGAGAAAAAAATGATTTTACAGTTTTACGAATGAGAAGTTGCCGAGGCATTTGTTATTGGATTTTGAACTATTTGTGTCCTTTATAAAAGCACCGAAGGCATTGTTTTATCTTTATAACACAGAATATTTGAGTGTACTTATATGCAGCGTGTTTGAATATCCAATTGTGACTACAGCAAATTGTGATCATGTATCACAATTTAAGCGGATCACTTTTGAGCCGCGAGTGCCGTATCTTCCCTTTTTGTTTTAATCGAAGCCTCAGCAGCATAAGCAAACAAGCACAGCACCCTAAAGAATTACGTTATTTGGCTGCACAAATCAACGATAACTTGAGCTGCGCTAAAAAGTGATTCCACGCAAACCACAATCCAGTGGGCCGGGGGAAAAAAGTGCAACTAACCCGCCGATCAGTCTGTCGCCCGGCTCAGTAACAGACGCTCGCGTCATTTTGATAAGTAAAATCCAAGAAAAACGCGTTTTTTAGGACAAAATGACCTGCCCTCCCTTCATGTAAAACATATTGTTCACGCTCAACTGTCAAATTAAAAAAATGACTGTTAAACTATCCTTTGACTAAAAGGTTGTCTGGAAGAGATCGCTTTCAGCGATAAGACCGCCTTTACCCACCATAGTTTACTATCTGCTTTTTAAGCCCTTTAATTTTGTATGTGTGAGTAATAAAGAGTATATCTATCTATCTGAGTCCTCTCCTGCGGGGTAAAGTGTGGGGGTAGGACGTGAACGGGGACCGTGAGAGGTGCGGGCGGCGGGCGCTTGTAATTTTAACAAGAAAGTGTCTGCCGCCCGCAATTTTCACGCGAGGTCTCAGTTAAGCGGTCTACCTAAAAGTGACATGACTGTGTTGTTTAGCCGAGCGACGTGCCCTAGACGGTGGTGAAGTAGAGGAGTGGATTCGAGCCGCGGACTTGTCGCTGATCGCGCCCGCGCCGCCCTCTGCCGGCTTGATGAGGCTATTCCTCTCCGCCTTGGTCAATCCTCCGCCTGGTGAGATATTTTATAAACGTTTTAGCGTTCATTATTATATTTTCTATTTGCATATAAAAGTGTGATTTTTTTATTTACTGAAATATTTTGTAATTCTTTCGCCCAGTTTCTGAAAGATTTGTCAAATCATTATTCATATAACATGCTTGTTAATTTTTATAGCAGTTTTAAATCCAGTTGAGTTTCTGAATCGAAGATTAGCGAAAAATTCTAGACACCCATAATGGCGACAGCCCAATTTTTTATCTTTATTACACAGTTCTATCAACTGACACAATGATTTAGGTAGACCGCTTAATTGTGTCCTCGCCTGCGGGGTAAAGGGTGTGGGGGAGAACGTAAACCGGGACCGTGAGAGGAGTATTCTTAGCAAAATTACAAGTGCCCGCCGCCGGCACCTCTCACGGTCCTCGTTCTCGTCCTCCCCCACTCCCTATACCCCGCAGGCGAGGACTCAGTCAAGCGGTTTACTTATAGTCGATTATGCTTTCAGCAACCTATTCGACAGTTAACATTAGATTTTTATGGCCTGCTACTAAACATCCTGATGATTATTATTGCTAAGTGTTAATAAAGAAAATAATTTAAATAAAATTATACTGTTCAAAACACTGGTAATGGCTCGTCAGATAATTTTATTGCTGAACAACCTTTTGGAAACCGGTTTGTAGGACACTTGGAATATTTTCAGCATTCCCAAGTACGTTTTGTTCTCCGCTCTGTGTAAGCCTGCAATTACAAGCACTCATACTGAAGTACCCGAATGACTAGTGCCCGGCGCGGCGCGGCGCCCGCCAGCTTATTATATATAGTACTTTACGAGGCATAGCATTATAGCTGCATAAACACACACATACATATATGTACACACACACCCACTTCATAAAGTTATCATGTGACAAATTCCCAAAAACCCTTTTATAACGGTATTAAGTGTTTGTTATTCGTTTTTTTTTTGTCATTTGTAATGTTTTATCAAATCTCAACTTAATTCTATGTTGGTTAATTATATGATTTTTATACTTTTTTAATAATACACGTGATATAGGTATATAGTGACGCCGTTGGTATCTAATGTGTACAGATTGAATTTATATTTTATTGTATAACATCTACAGAAATCGCTGTAGAAGCTTTGTTAAAGATAAATAAATAAGAAGTGAGTGTGCTTATGACCACACGACTAAAGTGAAACTATTTTAGCTCCAATGATCTGAAAATCATAAACTTAACCTGAAGATTTGTTGTTGATAGAAAAATAAACACCAATCCGAGCTGGGTCCCTTATCACCCACCAATCCGCACTGGGTCCGTTATCACCCACCAATCTGCGCTGTGTCCGTTATCACTCACCAATCCGCACTGGGTGCACTAGATTCATGTATTTTATGACGGGTATTGATCATTGTTTACCGATAAGTCACCGATGACACTAATAGTAACGCAAAAATCGTAACACCAGTTCACCTCCCAAGTCAAGCGTGTGTTATATGTGTGCACATTGATAAAACCCCTAATAATTAGTGTATACCTATCCTAAAATATAATTGTGTAGTCCTAGCCTTAACTATAATTTTTGCTATTTCTTAATTAAATTGTTTTTCTTTAAATTCATGTTACAGCGTCAGCAGATTAATTTCCACATACGTTGAATCGCTGACACTGCAACACACATCCGTTCAATATTTAATTTTATTAGATTATTATTAGATCAACCGGCCTCCATCGCGGAGCTGCCAATAGTTGTACCTATAGGTTAAGTTATAAAATAAAGTATTTTTTTTAAACTCCTATCTCGGCTCTGCTTTAACTGGCGCAGTCGGTAGGATCCGTCGCGTTCGCGTTTTCCGAAAATCGAAAACGGAATAGTCCGTTTCTACGGTCGTAGCGAGGATCCAGAACCTTTCGCGGTAGCCGGGACAAGGACAAGGCTTGGAAGTCATCACAGAAAGGAGACCAAAATGATGCAGTTCCTGTAAGTGCTTGTTATCATTTTCTTGCTATCCTTGACTCTCCCCAGCCAATCGTTGCACTATTACTTCTAGTGTTCTGATAGATTTTTATTTGATTTTAGTTACATTTTATATTACAAGTTATTATACGAATTCTAAACAATCTAGAGCTTGCATTTGTTAAGCCGTAATTAACTAATTGAAAAGATAAAAATAGACTCGTCGTATTACACCGCGCTATCACGTTTCACGCGCCGAGTGTGTAAATGATAAAAATTATTTTTAGCTAAAGTCACTGTGTTATTAATCTTTTCTTTTCCAGCACTTTATTGATTGATATTTTGTGTACTTTTATTTGATTTGCGTGTTACGTACATTTTAATAATGGATAACGAACAGGAAAGAATCCAACCTGTCCATTTGCTATTAAAAAGTATTCCCCAATTTAACGGCGACCCCAATAGATTATTTAGATTTATAGCCACTTGTGATAGCTTGACAAATAGTTACTTTGTGCCAGAGTATCCTATTGCAAATGCGACTTTATTAAATGGTATAGTGAATAAAATAATAGGCGACGCAGAGGATGTTTTAAACATAAGTGGGAACAACACGTGTCGGCCGGATATACGTAGGACATTAATTGAGAATTTTGCGGATCAAAGGGATGAAACTACCCTTAATCGCGACCTAACGTTATTACGGCAGGAGAACGAGACTCCCCAAGAGTTTTACGTACGTTGCCAGCAGATGTTAAGTAAAATCGTAAATTTTATTAATCTTAATATAGTTGACGATTCGACCAAAGAGGTTAAGCGATCATTTTATGTTGAACAAACACTCCAGACTTTTATTGCAGGGCTAAAAGACCCATTAGGCTCACAAGTAAGATGTATGAAACCGACCTCATTACCAATGGCACTTAAATATGTCCAAAAGGAACTGAATATTAAATACATGCAGACTACATTCCCGTCTGCTAGCTCTAATAAAGTTGAGATACGTAAGCCTTCCCCTTTCATTATGCCAGCTGCTATGCCTATGGCGATGCCGCCGCAAAGACCTGCAAACCCAAACCAGTTCCCAAATACATATAAGGCATTTAGAGGTAATGGGCCAATACAAAATCACCAAGGTTTCAGACCCCCGATTAACAATTTTCAGAATCCCAATAGGTTCTTTACTTCTCGACCACAATATAATTACGGGATCCAACCCAGACCTCAAGGTCAATACCCGAAGCCCATGAGTGGTGTAAGCGCAATAAAACCACAGTTTAGACCAGGAGGACAAGACCTCACGAACTTTCAAAATCCCACAACTAAATATTTTAAGACACGGGAGATTAATATGAACGAAGCTTATCCGTTTGAGAATGAACAATATTATTATACGCAGGAACCGTATTATGAGTTATATAATACGTATAGTGCTGAGTGCCCGAGCACTAGTTATGACGAACCTCCCGTACAAATTACGGAGGATTTCGCACCGGAATGCGACAATCAGAATTTTCAAGAGTCCGTGGAGACAAACGAACCCTCGTAACTGAGATAAATTTGCAAAGCAGTCGCGTATTGCCGTATATACAGATTATTGATCCCCCGTTAAAGTTACTAATTGATACAGGCGCGAATCATTCATTTATATCGCCTGAGACTGTGGAAAGTTTTTTTTAAAATTTTCCTATAGTATACGAGCCTTTTGTTGTAACTAATATTCATTGCACTACAAAAAATGATTACGCAATTAATTTGCCGATATTCCCAGAATTCAAGGAATCAGGCTTTTCTAAATTTTTTATATACAAGTTTCACGATACCTTTGATGGACTATTAGGACTTGATTTCCTCAATAAATTGAAAGCCCGAATTGATTTAGGTGCAAACATATTAAAAACAGAAAACTCTATAAACAAAATCCAAATGTTAAAATCTGGTGCTAATAATCTATTTGAATGCATAATTAGAGCAATGAGTACAGAACGACTTAGGATACCAGTATCATATAAGTATGGAGATATTTTAGTCGCAGAAACTAATGTTAACGGTTGTTATATACATGACACCGTTACGATAGCTCGCGATAATAAGGCATATGTAGAAGTTTCTAATAAGACACCTAATGATTTAATATTTAGTTTAAATGAACCTTTGCCATGTAGTCCAATAAATAACTTTGAGTGTTTCAATTTTGATATATTATCGACTAAGAACAACCATGATGTAAAATCACTAATTAGAACCGATCACCTCAATAACGAAGAGAAAGCGAGTATAGAACGGCTCTGTGAACGTTATAACGACATATTTTATTACGAAGGTCAAGACCTTACATTTACTAATTCGGTTAAACATAAAATCAATACAGTAGACGAAATACCTATATACACGAAAAGTTATAGGTACCCCTATATTCATAAAACCGAAGTACAGGAACAAATTAGCAAAATGCTAAAGCAAAAGATTATACAACCCTCTAACTCGCCATGGTCTTCACCAATCTGGATTGTACCAAAGAAGGCTGACGCCTCGGGCAAGAAAAAATGGAGACTGGTCGTAGACTTCCGTAAGTTGAACGACAAAACTATCAATGATAAGTACCCTCTCCCTAATATATCAGATGTTCTCGATAAATTAGGGAAGTGTAACTATTTTACAACCCTTGACCTTACCAGTGGCTTCTATCAGATCCAGATGCACCCCTCAGATATTCCCAAGACCGCTTTTAATGTCGAAAATGGACATTATGAGTTTCTCAGAATGCCTATGGGATTGAAGAACGCCCCGTCTACGTTCCAAAGAGTAATGGACAACGTTCTTAGGGGCTTGTCTAACACAGTAGTATATTTAGATGATATTATAATCTACTCAACCTCTCTCCCGGAACATTTACTAAATCTGGAAAGCGTATTCCAAAGACTCAGAGAAGTGAATTTAAAAATCCAACTCGATAAGTCAGAATTTTTAAAACGAGAAACCCCTTTTCTTGGTCACATAATCACTTCTGAGGGTATAAAACCCAATCCTGATAAAGTCAGGGCTATAGAAAACTACCCTATCCCCAAAACACCCAAATAAATCAAAGGATTTCTAGGCCTTTTAGGCTATTATCGTAAATTCATCCCCCAATTTGCTAAAATCACTAAACCACTAACGAACTGTTTAAAGAAAGGTGTTAAAATTGAAATGACTCCCCAGTACGTAAATTGCTTCCAACACTGTAAATCACTCCTAATGAATGATCCGATCTTACAGTATCCGGATTTTTCCCAAGAATTTAACCTCACAACAGATGCGAGTAACTTCGCCATTGGTGCCGTCCTCTCTCAGGGCAATATAGGCTCTGACAAACCAATAGCTTACGCCTCACGCACCTTAAATGATAGTGAAGTAAACTATTCCACCATAGAAAAGGAGCTCTTAAGTATTGTATGGGCTACCAAATATTTTCGACCTTATTTGTTTGGGCGGAAATTCCATATTATAACCGACCACAAACCTTTAACCTGGCTTATGTCATTACGAGAGCCAAACTCTCGTCTTGTTCGATGGCGATTAAGGTTGGAGGAATATGACTATGACGTTATTTACAAAAAAGGAAAACTTAACAGTAATGCCGATGCCTTGTCTAGGATAGAATTAAATGCAAACACAGTTGTATTAGACAATTGCTCTATGATAAATAATATCCCAGCTTCTGTAGCCGATGATATAGGAACAGTCCATAGCAATCAAGAAGACCCCATATTAGAATTGCCATACACTAACAAACCATTAAACGAATTCAATGTACAGTTGAAAATTAACGTGCAGTCTATGTCTATAGTAAAACCAAAAACGAAATATTCCTTTCCAGGCAAAGTTAGGTATACTAGTCAAGTCAATATAAATAACTTTGAGCTAGACATTATTAAACTCTTCAAAGAGTATATAAGTCCCAATAAACAGATAGGCATTTTAATTAATAAAGACTATCAAGAACCATTAGTAAGAATTTTGCAAAAAATATTTAAAAACAACGCATACAACCTATTGCTTTGCGATACTATTCTAGAGGATATTGTAGAAGAAAGCAAACAAAAAGATATTGCTAGTAAACTCCATGTCGGTAAAAGTAACCATCGGGGCATTCAAGAAAATTGCGCGGCTTTAAAAAGAAAATATTATTGGCCAAACATGACTAAAACAGTTTCTGAGATAGTTAATACTTGCCTCGTGTGTAACAGTTCCAAATACGAAAGACGCCCTATAAATGCCGAACTTCAACTAGTACCTATTACTACCAAACCATTTGAAAAAGTTTTCATGGACATATTAACAATAAATAAAGAAAAGTATTTAACTATCATAGATAGCTTTTCTAAGTATGCTCAAGCATATTTGTTAACAGCAGCTGATGCCATATCTGTTGCTAAAGCTCTGAGGATATATTTCTCTCACCACGGTACACCCCAGCTAATCATATCAGACCAAGGCCAAGAATTTAAAAATAACGTTATACAAGAGTTACTAGATATGTACAAAATAGAAACCCATTTTACTACTATACGGAACCCTCAGTCGAGCGGAACAATAGAACGTTTTCACTCCACCCTACTGGAGCATGTAAGGATACAGACAGGATTATACGCCAAATCCTCCACTAGCGAGTTAGTAGTAAATGCAGTTATTGCATATAATAGTTCAATTCACTCTATGACAAACAAAACACCATTTGAAGTTATTTCCGGGCACTTAAATAGCCAGGATCCGTTAGAGATTAAACGTAACAAAGAATACTTGCAACAATATGTTACTGAGCATAAAAAACTTACCGAAGCTCTGTATAAAAATATTCACGAAATTAGTTCTGAAAAACATGAGAAGCAAATATCATATCAGAACAAAGATCGCGAGTCCTTGCCTTCTGTTTCATCAGGCCAAGTAGTATTCGAAAAAACAGAAACGAGACAAAAAACAGAACCTAGGTATAAAGTACGTATAGTAAAGGATGTTGATCCCTTAGCTATTAATATTGATAGGGGACGAAGGATTGCTAGGCGAAATATTAGGCGTCCTTTAAAAAATACTATTAATTTGTTCCAGGATGATCCTAGCGAGTCTTCTGACAGTGAGAGCTCTACGGGAAGTTCTTATAACCCCCCTTGAGAATAATCCCGGAATACTTCCATTTAAACTAGGGAAAACGAAACTTGTAGATCTAGAGCACACCTTCGTGCATTACATAGATTTAGATAAATTAGAAGATTCTATTAGGACTATTGTTAAGCAAAAGAAGGATATGGACAATTTAGAACTTTATCTTAAGGAAGTAGAGTTCGATAATCATATGCACTATTATAAGAAGCAATACATATCGAACAACATTGAAAGTTTAATAACTATGTATAACAGCTTAACTAACAAAAGATTTAAAAGAGCCCTAATAAATGAACTAGGATCTCTAATCAAGAGAATGTCAGGGAATCTAGATTACAATGATGCTGTTCGATATGATTCTGCTATTAGACATCTAAGTGATAATCAGAATAAAATAGTAACTAGAGTTAATAAAGATATATCTATCAATAAAGGGGCATTGCGTGAGATCAATACGACTATCTCAGGACTCATAGAAAATCAAAACCATATTCAAAATTCTATAAATCAGATGTACAATATTAGTTCAAAATATGATTTGCACTATAGGAAGCCACTTTATTTAGATTCAGTTTACTTAGAATTAAAAAATAATATAGAGACCATCTTTACATTTCTTTCTACTTTAGAAAATATATTAGCCTTTACGAAATTGGGAATATGTCATCATGAAGTCGTAACTCCCACCAACATCCAGGAAATGATAGATATTTTAGAATTAAATTATAGTAGTGATAGATTAGTACCCGTTAAGTCTAATGAAGTTAGGGATTATTACGAATTAATTAGCACAGGCTCTTATTTTAGGGATAACACAATAGTAATAGTGCTCAAGGTTCCTATCCTTGATACCTCATCCTATACCCTTTACAAGCTTTATCCTGTCCCCACTCTCAACCAAACTATACTCATTCCCCGTAAACCTTATTTAGCAATGAATGATAATAAATACAGCTACCTAGAGAGAGAGTGTAAGCACTTAGCAGATTTAAATATCTGCACAGAAGACGACAAGATAACATCTCGCCTGCCTGATTGCATCCACACCCTCATAGTTCATCAGCTGATAACATCTCAGTGCAAATTTACGAAGATTAAAAACACCTTGGAGATAATAGAACAGTTGGATGAAGCTACTTATCTATTAAGCCTACCAAATCGAACTAAATTGGACGCAAGCTGCGATTCTGACACTTATTCCATCTACAAGGGCAGTGTATTAGTAACCATCCCTGCAGGCTGTTCAATATCAACACCCTCATCCAGGATATTCAACAAATACAATAATATTACCGGGACACCTATCAAGCTGATATCTTTGAACCTGTCTCTCGCTCACCTTAACGAGTCTGTACCAGCCTTAGATATAAAGGATATCTCATTGAGCAAACTACATGACCTACAGCATCTTATAGAAAGAGAAGATCCCCTAGCTATAGATCAACCTGAAATAACATCGAGCCATATTGCGCTTACTGTACCAATATACATTATCATACCTCTGACAATAATTGGGATGATAATCTACAAGAAAACAAAGCAGTCCAAAGGGAAGCTGAATCTAGAGGAGCCTGCCGTCTCATCCAGCCTTCCTGCAGTATCATCCAGTATCCCTGCAGTACCACTCAACACTCCTGCAAGATCCACCATCGATGCTCCTGTATATGCATCGCCATTCTCTCTCCAAGTGAGATAATGGCTCATCTAAGGATGGAGGTGTTATATGTGTGCACATTGATAAAACCCCTAATAATTAGTGTATACCTATCCTAAAATATAATTGTGTAGTCCTAGCCTTAACTATAATTTTTGCTATTTCTTAATTAAATTGTTTTTCTTTAAATTCATGTTACAGCGTCAGCAGATTAATTTCCACATACGTTGAATCGCTGACACTGCAACACACATCCGTTCAATATTTAATTTTATTAGATTATTATTAGATCAACCGGCCTCCATCGCGGAGCTGCCAATAGTTGTACCTATAGGTTAAGTTATAAAATAAAGTATTTTTTTTAAACTCCTATCTCGGCTCTGCTTTAACTCGTGCCTAAAAAAGTTTCACTTCAAAAATAAGATCTTTAATAAATAGTAGCGTTGCGATATCAGAATGGTGTGACAGCCGTCGTGGCGCGTGCGTGGCCGGCGCCGGGCGACTGTGCGTCAGATCACGCGCGGCCGCCGCTGACGCCGCGCCCGCGCTCGCCGCGCTACTGCACGAGCACACCGCGCCCCTGCCCGCGCGACTCAACGCTCTGCTGGCGCTCACCGACGTGTGCACCAGGTGGGGATATATGAATGAATCTATGATTTATTTCTTTCACAAAGTAACATTACAATTGGTACAAGAGTATGAATGGCAAAACAGTAGAAACAATGCAGTTCTCCCAAAAGAGAGCTGTAGGTTACAGAACCTGTGTTACGACCCCAGGCTCAAATCCTCTTAGAGTACGTTTGTGATGTGAATGATCTAATAACAGAGCAGAAGGAAGAAAAAAGTCGTTACCGCTTTTCATCAATAAATGCGATTGCACTAGATAATACTTAAATATCTTTTTAGAATACTTGCAAGTATGAATGTGCTTGCACGCTTGTGTGTGCGTGTGTATATGCGTGTGTATTTATATACACATATGTGGCGGCGATATCCCTGGCTGAGGCCGCACTAGTACGGCGACTGCGACGCAACTCGAGGGCGCAGTACAAACAGAAATGTCTGCATGCGGCCACCAACATGTGTTTATATAAGTTTGTTTTCACAATATTATGCCCGACCAACATTGGTCAGACTGCGGACCCCGAGTAAAGACACCTCGGAGAAAGATCTTCCCTTCAGGCTTTCTACACATGGCGACGGACAATCAAACAATGACATCAATGGTCGCGTTATCTTTTCGTAAATAAAGTCTAATGATTCTCCTTTATGTTTCCGCCAGTTGATGTCCATTTAGCGCTTGTTTTCCATGTGGATTAAATTAAACAATTTTGATAAACGAATTAATTGAAAGACACCAACTTCCCTATTATCAAGAATAATAATCCATTATCGACATTTATCCGCAACGGAGCACGGAGCGGGTCTCAGCGATGGGCGTTCGTTCCGGGCACCCGCATAAGGCTGGGCGCATATGAGCGGTTTCCTGATAAGGAATTCAGATTCAGAATTCCGTTAACCTAGCGCACACTTTCCGTTAGGTTTTTTTTTTCCATTCTGAATAAAAAGAATAGTGTTCGCCTCGTCAAATATTTTGTATGTAAGCAGGTTCATTCAAGTCTCCGAATCGGAATTCCTGATCTGGGTACTGTTCATATGCGCCCAGCTTAAGAGCCCTTTTACAAAATTGCGCCGCTGCCATACTGATCCGCGCGTAGGTAGATTTGCACTAGTATATTTTGCATTTTACGGGTGATGTTCCGAGTCTTATAAAATAATTATTAATCAACTAATTATAAAAATATATACATATTTCAGTAGTTCAATGATGGTAGATTAGTTTTATGAAAGTTTTTGATAGTATTTCTATTTAATTCAATATCAAAATACGAGGTAAACCTGCATTATTTTTTGACAAAACTCACGGAGATTAGATTTTTTCTTAATAATTATAGAGATGGAAAATCAAAATTCTAATACATTATGTTACAACAAAAACATATTTCTGATGTCGTAGTAAGTAATTTGATCTAATTTACTGAACATTATTGAGAGGCGTTAGAAGTTGTACATATTATCGATTTTTCCGTAAACTAGCTGCAGTAGAACGATCAGTACAAAAAAGGAAAATAGTATTTGCAAATATTCTACATTAACTTACAAAAGGAATAATAAATCTACTGTTTACTTCTATTGGAAATAGTCAAAAGCTTTTCCAAGGGGGGTAAACGAAGCGCTCAAAAATAACGACATTTTGCAAAAAATGTGAAAGGGCTCTTAAGCCTGTGGACGTTCGTACATGTTTAGGGTTCCCATCCGTCCGGATTTTTTTAATTAGATGGAATATGAGTAAAACTACTTATTGAGTTATATCAAATAAGTCAAATAATCCTTATTAAGTTCTCATTAATTTAAAACAAAATATAAATTATCTTTAAAAATCAACAAGGAGACCCCCCTCGCGATGAGAGCGTCTGCTACCACGCGTATAATATAACTAAGTGGGTGATGTTTGCATTTTATGACTAAAATGTCCGGACATTTACCGATATGTCCGGCTTTTTGTAAGGACTTTTAAAATTTTTAATAGTAATCCTATACATATTTGAACATTTTGCCTTTATTCCCAGTCGCCCTCGCGGAGATTGTGCCACTGGAGGCAAATAGGAATAAAAAACTGAAGTGGGGTCAATGACTTCACTCCAATTGGCCTCCGGAGGCAATCCCCGCGTGGGGGGGACTGGGAATAAAGGTCTCTGCGAGGAGTGCCACCAGGGGCAAACGGGAATAAAAATATTGAAGAGGATAACTGAATTCCCATTTGGCTCCGGTAGCAATGACTACATTCCCATTTGCCTCTTGTGGCAAAGCCGGCGGGGGCGACTGGGTATAAAGGAACTTTTTGATGGTAGATACACTTGCATCGTGGAGCCGCTGCTGGGCTCTGTTTGTGGTTGCCTCTCAGCGCAGGCGGCGGCGCCGCTGCGGCGTGGCGCTGCTCGAGCCCTAACGAGGCTACTGCTCGCTGGATACCTGAGGTTACGACCGCCGCTATTTTACAAGTACGTCCACAACACTTACTGCTTGCTAAATACAGTGGATTTCGGGTATAACGACGAGGAAGCGACCACTTTATTTTCTACGTTATATCTGGAAGTCGTTGCAGGCAAAGGTAAAGAAATACAGACACGTACACATGCATAGTTTATATTCATTTATAAATGATTTCCGCCTTTTCTTTAACATTTTTGCTAAACCCAGCTACTTAGACCATTAAACCACTGGACTAAGTACGCGCCTAATTTTACTCAGTGCAAAGTCTGTCAATTTTTGAGGGGGACCAGGTAAACCACTACATTAAAATAAACTCACACAGCCTTAGTTATTTGTATTGTTACAATCGCCTACAAATATAGTTTTTCACCTACGCACACTTATAACAATCACAAGTAATCTTAAGTATCATCTGCTACAACAAATTTCCAATTAAAATCTCTGCGTAACCCTAAATCAATATTAAACTGTAGATAACCATAAGTGTCAATGTTCGAACCGTTTGCAGCACAGAGTTGATAATTCGTCTTGTCGCGGCGATCACGCAATGCAGAACCAGGGTATACGCATAAGTCACTTCCGGTGTCCACTAAAAATTGCATCTTCGATTTGCGATCCGTTACGAAAAGGCGACCATTAGGCAACGACGGTGGGCAATCATCAGTCGCCATTACTAACTGCCCTGAGCGTTTCCTGATTTAAAGTCACAGGGTTTGATGCACTTCTTGGCTTGACTACCGAATTTAAAATGATACCAACACTGCGGAAATTTTCGGTAGTTGGATAAGGAACGCTTCGAGGGTGTCCGATGTCTCTGTCTATCCTGGTAGCTTTGCTTATTGCGAGGACGGAACGGCTATGCACTTCCGCAGTAAGGGCGCTGACCTGCTTCGTAAGTTCAGCTATACTCCGCGCCATTATGTCCAGTGTCGATTGCGTAGTAGATCTACTAGCCGCTGCCACTTCCGGTGATGCTGGAGCAATATCGTGTACACGGTCTGCTCAGTCGGCTAGGTTATTAAGTGATAAAGTCATCTGTGACGCAATCACTGTTTGTAAATTGTTTGGCAATCGGCTCGTCCATATCGTGCGTAGAAAGTTCTCAGGAATACTGGGTCCGGCTAGGTGTTGCAGATGTCGAAGAAATTGAGATGGCTTGCGATCCCCAAGCTGTTCGGATTGCAACAGTTGTTTTACTTTTCTCTCACTCGACGTTGAAAGTCGCTTGATTAGCTCTGTTTTCAGCTTCTCATACTTGCCATTAGTCGGTGGAGAGGTTATAACGTCTTCTACTTCAACTGCTTATGACGATCGAGGTGCGAAAGTCCGTAATAATATTTCGTATTATCGTCAGTTATCCGGGCCATCGCAAATTGTCCTTCGATTTGTGAAAACCATATCATTGGTTTTTCCGGCCAAAACGGAGGTATTCTCACACCGACTCTAAAAGTTTCCGGGGCAGGCATCATCGTGTTTGAAAAATGTCCAACGGTTTCTTGCTTGTCGCCGTTCGGCTGTTGTCCGTCGTCGCTCATTCTGCTTATGTTCAAAAGCGGGGTCGACAGTTGTGGTGGCGCTAAGCGTTAGCGGTCGATAAATAACTTGTATGAAGTTATAAAGAATAAGTCCAGTTCTATATTAGCGTTTACTACACAATTTAGAAGGCAGTACAGCACAGAGTGACAGGCAGATAGTAAACAGTTGGAAAACGAATAACATATAACATCAACATGTAAATATTTAGTAAGCGAGTGGCACGGGTTCCCCGTCTAGTAGTCGGATTGTGACTGCGCATACCACACTTTTTGATAAATAATAAATATTTTTACGTGCGGTCTGTATGTTTGTCGATTTATTGTGAATATGTTATTATTGTATAATGTATTTATAATGTAAGTGTTTTCAATATTAGTTTATACGTATGTATGGTATAATAATGATATTTTATTATTTGTACTTGATATATATGGTGTATGTGTATATATAAATATATTAATACTTTATGTGTGTGTGTGTTCCACCGTGTAGATATGTGGGTTAGCCACAACTCCAAAACGTACACGCTTCCCTACCTACTTAGCTGATATCTATAAACATAAGGTAAAGGTCTCCACTTGCTGACCATCTGTGTGGATGTAAACAAAAGATAAGAAATGGTTGTGAAATGAAGAAATCTTTGTGTCTTTGGCGGCCGCTCGCAATATCTGCATGGGATTTCTAGGAATTTGTTACAAGTGATTCATCAAAAACAATCGCTACACCCGAACTCGGCGTTACATCCAAAGCCGCTATAGCCACATGAATTTTGTACTAAAGTATGCTTTAAATTCAAGGGACTTAGATTTAACGTCGCTATAGGTAAATGGTCGCTACAAACAAGGTCGTTATAAATGAAATCCACTGCAAATAAATACTTCCAACACTCACAACAATTTGTCTAGCTCCAAAGTAACTCCAGGGTAAGCATTGTGAGGCTTATATTATGGGATACTAGGGTAACTATCTTATGACCTTTTCCGATGTCTCTATACAAAATTCTAACCTAATCGGTTTAGCGGTTTAAGCCCGAAGAGGCAACAGACAGACACACTGTCATTATTTATAAAACTAGTGGGTGCCCTCGACTTCGTTTACGTGAATAAAATTGGACTCCCAATACAAACTTCTACCCTCATTTACACCCTCTAATGGCGATTTTTATGATAAAAACTAGCCTGGGTCCATTCCCGGGATTCAAACTATTTCTTTACCAAAATTTAACTAAATCAGTTCAGCGGTTTTAGCAAGAGGTAACAGAACAGACAAGCAGACAGACATCCTCTCACATTTTTTGATACTAGTATGGATTATTTTTAAAAAACTGTGCATTTTATTTTCACCAGATATTGTGCGTTATTAGCGGATGATGACCACGATGTGCGCGAACCGGCCGAATATTACGTGACTTGCTGCATGACCACAGACACTATCTACCATCACTTTGTTGACTGCATTATACACTACAACAAGGAAGAAGGCGGTGAGTGCGAATCGTATTATTGTTATCATTTAGGTATATTTTGTTCTTGCTTTGGCATAATGTTGTGTGATTTTTTATTTAGAAACCAAATTCAAAGTTTTTCAATTCGTAATATTTTATTCTAAGTTCCGTCTATGGTTCAGTGAACCAAATGTACAATATTACGAACCATCCATCAATGGTTAATAAAATGGACCAAAGGCACAGTATTACGAATTAAAAACTTTTGATTTAAATCCTTAATAAAAAAATTCGTTTCGTAGACGAAAGAAGCAGTTTTATTCACTTATTCCTAACTGGTTATGAAATGAGGATATTTTTCCATTATCATTCAAAAATGGTATCGCGATAACATTGTATTGCCTTCCAAATAAATGAAATATTTGACAATTGAATTACTAATACCTTTTATTGTATTGCAGAGGGTATATCTTTCGATGCACGCCAGCTGATCTACGACGTGATGCTTCAAAGGCTATCCATAGTGCAGAAGTTGAACGTGCAATGTAGATTGGCACGCGAATTGCTCGGACATGCGGCCGACCTTTGTGACGACAACGTGGAACTGCCTGCCTCCCTCCACGCGGCCTTATTGGATGCCATCACACTATTGTGCGGCCCACGCATGAAGCTGCCTAGTAAGTATAACCATACTATGTTATAAATGTTAAAGTTTTTAATGTACACTAGCGGCCGACCTTTGTGACGCCAATGTGGAACTGCCTGCCACCCTCCACGCGGCCTTATTGGATGCCATCACACTATTGTGCGGCCCACGCATGAAGCTGCCTAGTAAATATAACCATATTATGTTATAAATGTTAAAGTTTGTAATATAGACTAGCGTCCGATCTTTATGACGACAACGTGGAACTGTCTGCCTCCCTCCACGCGGTCTTATTGCACGCCAATGACACTATTGTGCGGCCCATGCATAAAGCTATCCAGTTCAAAACTTTCGGATCCAAAGAAGTCTCGATCTTAAAAAAACTATAGCCTTTTACGCCACAGCATCATAGATAGGTACGCATAATCGGTATATGAACATGCAGAATTTCGGTTTTTTGATATTTCCAATCTAATTAGTACTTTTAAGCAGGGCTTGTTAACGTTACCGATTCACATTCAAATATCGTTAAATAACGTTATTTTATTTTGTAATTTCGATACCGGTAAACAGGTAACAAAACGTTACCGTAACCGTATTGTAACGTTAATTTTTATTTTTTCTTAAATTGAACGTTTACAGGACTATACTTTTAACGTTTATAGTAACGTTATTAATAACGATACTTTTAAAGATACCATTTACTTCTCCGACATTTTTCTTTAAGTATTTTGATGCGTCATAAATTGTTACTTGCTTGGAGCCTAAGTTAGAAGCTAATAATAGCGGTCTCTAACCATCCGCCTCTTTTTCGAATTGTATAAATATACACGCAAAAAAACATCGTTTTACCCACTGAACACAGAAAGAGGCTAGAATGGCCTTGTGGGCGGGGCAGGCGCGTCACAGTTATGAGCAAATGCTCATAACTTGACCGTAACGTCCGATTGCGTCGTTTAGTTGCCCCCTAACGCTCAGTGAGAAAGTACTGTCATTACCGCTTAAAATATGCCTTCGTGTGCCGTAATTACTTGCAAAGTAAGGAGTCAATCATCAAATCTACCTAAAGCAGGAATTTCTTATCATCGGTAAATATAAAACTTCTTAGTTAGACTGATATTTTAGTAAAAATTCGAGAAATATTAATTAAACGATAAACCACATATATATTACCACAAAAATATTCATTGCTGACAAAGTACGCTCGCTATTCTCTCTACGACATTCAAAACACGTAATGTAGTACGATTCGCACAAGAATGACGCGTGGATCACAGAGCGCTGCACGTGCCGGGACGCAGTACAAGGTCATTGCACCTACTTTAGTGGTGTCTTGCGTCGTACATTTTACATTTTCGATAGATTTTATCGACTGAATTTTAGCACCTAATAATAGAATTAAAGTAACTTTTAGAAATAAATAAAAGCTGATTGTAAATGTTTATCATACTTAATATTATAAAGGCGAAAGTTTGTGAGTGTGTTTCATAATTTTGTAAATTTGACCTGGAATTTTTTTTTGCAGAAGTAGGTTCGAAGGAGATTTTAGACATTTTATTTATAATGATGTATTTAACGTCTCTGCCAATTTTCAGCTCTATGCGAATTATCCCTAAGTTATGACTTATTTTTGTCTATTTTGACTGGACTATAGAGAGAATTAACTTGTCCACACAGTCAGTAGAAAGAGCATGTCTGATCATATCTTACTGATATCAGTACACAAGTCATTGCCTACATAGCAGGCAATGTGGTTTATGTCCTAATTTAAAAAAAATGAAATGCGATATTTGCCCTGGAGCCCTAATATCAGATTCAAGTAATAACTTAAATTTATTTCTAGTTTTAACGGGTTAATGCACGAAACTTTATTTATTATTTACGTTTCGCAGCCTTTTCAGGTCTGCATCGTCGGAATGATTCTGTCGTCAATAAATAAATAATGTTTCGTGCATTAACCCGTTAAAACTAGTTTTATTTAGTGAGCGATGTGCGTGAAAACCTAAGAAACAAAAATAAATTTATTTCATTAAAAGATAAAGGTGGCCTGATATATCCGTCCGTGGTGATGTTTTAAAAATATGCAAAAGTGCAGAAACTGTAAAACGACAACATGCACATAATTTGAAAAATGTCTAAAAAGAAATTTTAGTCCCAAAAATATAAAATAAAAAATGGGTGCGTGTACTTATGTAGGCGCGTGAGAAGTTATCCTTCTTTGGCATCGTTTAAAATTAGTTTTTAATTGCATGCAAATAATTAATTACAATAAATTAATAAAAAGTCTGGAAAAGGACACAGTCAATAAAGTTCAGTTTTAATTTGAAAAAATAAATAAATAATCAAAATATTCAATTAAAATCGCTACTGAATATAATTTATTAGAACATATGTGATTTGCACTTGTATAAAACTTAAACACGTATTCCGAATATACAAACTAGAAACATGTGGATAACTGTTACTTTATTACAAAAAATAAAGATGTGGTTTTTGGTTCTACTACACCAATGGTCAAGAGATGGCGCTGTAGTCTCCTGAATCGCGCTTTGGTTCCGTTGTTCCAGATTAATAAATACTTTTGATAGGCCTTCACAATGCAGTCGTTAGCACCCAGTAAATAGAGATTCTATTTCTATTTTGTTGGTAGATTTTCTTAATGTGCGGTAAACACAAAAGTAACGCATTTTGTGTTACAGTGATGCGCGCGCATCTTAAAATTTCACTCTCATCATTTTTTCATAACGCGCCTAAAGAAGTATAACTTCAAAAAGTTTATTGGCGCTTCATTATTTGATGACATTTCATTTCATCAAGTCGGTGAATTCCCATTATCTAACCACGTAACAGATTCAATTAAAGTGGTAATTGGAAAAAAAATATAGATATAAGTCTATATTTCTTTTGAAAAATAACTATAAAAAAGAAACAAAGCGTCACCTTTTTCATAAATATATATATATAGTTTCAAGGTCAATAAATAACTATCTGTAGTAATGCGTTTTACATTAAATCATTTTCTTTATCTTTACTGACTTTGACAGGATACAAAAAAATCCATACAATCAAGTCCAACTCGCACTTGACTTATTTAATATCGATAATATTTCATCGACTCAGTGTCTCACCACTAGAGCTAAAATCGGTGTGAACGAATGAACGCTCACAGTCACGGCTGTGAGCGCTGATTCGTTCGGTTGCTTGATGTCGCATCGTTTGATTGGCTTATTATCTATTATGTGGAAGTGTAGTGGGGGCGAGCCGGCGACATCGGTTCTCATACTGGCGATCGCTTATCACCCTTCTAACCTCTTTCTGTGTTCTGTGGTTTTACTAATATAGGTAATTAACGTTACGTAAATGATACATACCGGTAAAATTATGCAAAAGTAACGTTACCTCATAAAGTCAAAAAGACTGATAACCTTAATAGTTTTAACAGGTGTGTATAATGTTATCGAAGTATAGTAAGTTAATTGGAGTAACGTTATTTTCAGAGTATCGTTACCCTTACCAAACAAAAATAACGTTACCAAATTTTTTACGGTATTCCAAGCCCTGCTTTCAAATGCCAAAGAGTGTAATTGTTAAGTTTTTAATAAACAAATGAAACATATTTTCTCAGAAAAACCTCAAGCTTCCGGTGATGCAGACATTGATGATCTTCAAGAACGCGTCACAACAAATATTGTATCTCATGTGAGTATATTTATACGATATTTGCAGATTTACTTGATAAGCTTAATCTCAGCGCCTGATTTAAGTACTATGTATCTGAATATGAATTAAGAATTGGTTGGGTGACAGCCAAGATCCACTTTCAATGTCGCCCCACTATATCACACACCCACTATATCCCAGTCACAGCCGTCCCTTAATAAGTAGTACTAGCGGCCGCCTGCGACTTCGTGCAGGTTAACTTTAGTTTTTTGAAAATCTCACATTTGCCGGGATAAAAAGTATTTTATTTTATAAATTTTATTTTTTAAGCATGTAACTGCTTGATGTTTAAATCTAAAGAAAATATAACTAGAAAAAAATCCACGCGGACCAGGCAGACGGGACTCGAACCCGCACCCTTCGCTATCCGGGCGAATGCACTGACCAATAGGCTAGTTGCCTATATTTTAAAAAGTAGTTAATAATATACCTTGATGTTTATTTATCCCCAAAAAAATAGTATTGTAAATAAAAAAGTACATTAGCAATATGTATTTTGTATTTCAAAAAACTTATTGAAATTTCCCTCGAAAACGCTCTAGACTGTCATGGCGTCTTAAATGACGTCACGCCGTGCAAAGCAAACAATACGCTGTACGCCGACTATTAAAATTATTTACATAAAAATGAATCCATCGTATTACAAGTACTGTATAGTGTCCTAGTGTAAAAGGACAAGCATAAAACGCCAGGCAAATTATTTATATGCCACAAATGCGGAAAAAATGGTTAGAACCTGCAAGGAGGGATGGTACCTATTCATTGTTTATCAACAAATACAAGAATAATTTTGTGATGAACATTTTGATGTAAGTATTTTGCATAACATAATCTATGAAATCAAAATGTTGTACAAGCCGGATAAATTATATTGCATTATATTGATAAAATAATAACAATAGGTTGAGGTTATGTAAGTTGATTTAGTTTTATGGTATGATTTAGAGTCTATTTGAGAGTTCAGTATAATTATTCATAATAATAAACACTTCTTATTCTTGTTCTAGTTGCCAAATGATATGCTCAATTATGTCGAGTAGTTATGCAATTATTTTTTTATTTTGGTTAAAATATTATTATTTGCTTCGGTAAATCCCAATTCCATGGATATATTAGGCTTCCTTTCAATAATTATCTGAAAACAAACTGATAAAATGTTACAAAGTAACAATAACATGAATGAGAAATCAATGAAATGTACGAAAACGGCAACCACAAGTAATGTTTTGCACATGGTGACGTCAGTCTTTCTGATTGGTGTTTGCCGTCACGTGATCTAATGCCTATTTTATTCGAAATTATTTTCTAAAATAATAATAATCTTTAATTATTATGATAAATAGCTTTATTTTTTGTTATCTGTATATCATAATTCATATTTAGAAACTGTAACCCATTCGATTTATTGTTAGTTGACACAAGCCTATTATGCCGTGTGCTGCCTGGTCCGCGTGGAATTTTTTCGTTATATTTTCTTTAGATTTAAGTATCCTATGTCTTAATCCAGGTCATAAACTGCATGCGTTCAAAATTTAATCTAAAGCAGTTCAGTAGTTTTCGCGTGATTGAATAACTCATGAATATTGGGAGCGATTTTACTATTCTGACAAAAAAGTAGTTGATAATATTACTGAAGTAGTAGTAAAAGGAAAGTGTTTTTGATCTATTGTCATGTGACCAAAAACGCCTAGGTTTGGCGGAGCCAATGAATAAAATGACGTCACCTGCTTGTAAGCATCCTAACAAAGTGACATTACTTTGTACTGTTTGACGTGGAAATCTGTTTGACGTCACCTGCCCGTAAACACTATATTTGCTGGAGAGACGTGTCCGCGTCATATTATAAAAAAGGATTTTTCTTTTCTGATATACGCAACAGATTTTTTTTATGGAGTCCCTATACACTAATAAATAACGTATGAACGTTTTTAAAAACTTTTCAAATACTTTTCAATACATCTTTTTCAATTCAGGAGCTTTATCGGTTTTATAAATGCGATTCGCGTTGGCATTTTATCGTATACAGAAGATGAAGCGCACTGTGGCGGAGGTGGTGGTGCCGGCGGTGCTGCGGCTTTACGCGCGGCTTCGAGCGGCGGGCGGGCAACTGGCCGCCTACCTCGTGCGCATCGCCAACGACCTGCTGCACGACTACCGGCACGAGGTACGTATTTTGGTCTCTTGTCTTGTGACTGAAAACGCCTAGGATTTACGGAACCTAAAATGACGTCACTTGCTTGTAAACATCCTGACAAAGTGATATTAGTTTGTACGTTTGACGGTGAAAGCCGTGTGACGTGACGTGCATGTAAACTCTATATTTGCTAGAGATACGTGGCTGCGACCTGCTGCAAGACTACCTGCACGAGAGACTGTGACTAAACGCGGGGCGCGGGCGGGGGTCCTGCAGTACTGACACTAGTAGCAGAGATCGTCTAATTTAAAACTGAACTCCCTTCAATACTTTTTTGGTACTTTTCGACGACATCCGTGGCCGAGTGGTATATACCTACGCCGGGTTTTAAGGTGTCACCACTATAGTTGTAAAACAGCGGTTGTTATCGGATAATTATCCAAAGTAGCCGATAATAACTTCTAGACGGCGATTGACAACCGCCTGTTTATCCGACTCAAAACCAAAAGGTGTTATAAGTCGACAGTTCCTGAGTCGAATTTGTTATAATATACGAGCATATGCTGTCACAAACACTCTCGAAATAAAACCTCGAAATATTGGAGACAGATTTTACTAGAACACTGCGGGTCGCGACGGAATGTTCGCAATAAAGATCGAGTGGTGCGGCTCATTCTAATATGAGCCTTGTGCAGTGCGATGTAAGGGAGTAAGTACAACGACACCTGCACTTGTTTACAACTTATGCGCGTTACCTACATAGGTATAAGTAGTTACTACGCAGTCGCGGGTGCTAGTTAACTCTCAATTTAACGGGACTTTTTTAGAATGCGACGATTGGCGTATATAAGGGCGATCGGCGCCGCGCAGAACAGAGTTTCGAACGATTTCGAAACGAATACTAAAGCGATCAAAGTGCAAGTAAATTGTTTAAGTGCGATTGTTTAAAGACTTGTATAGTGAAGTTCAGTGTTTAGCGAGTGTATTGTGATTAACATTGTGTGTTAACTGTGTGATCTGTGTGGTGTATAAAGTACTGTCAAGCGTGAACGGGCATATCATTTCGAACCCCATCCCGACACGTAACAATACCATAAAGATACAAATAGGTATTTTGACTCAATAATTACCTAATCTCTCATGGTTTAAAACATAAAATAACGTAAAAACAGAGGCTGACATCCGACTGTTTATACAAATCTAGACAAAAAGGTCTCACACAATTTTTACAGTTCCACATTCCAATTTTTTATAATAACGAGCTGCTATATACAAATAAGTATTATTTCTAAATTAATATCTACCTACCTAGGTACTTTATCATGGCATAAAATATAAATTTTTCAATATTATGAAATATTAACACACATATTAAACGAATGCACCTACTTACTTATTTCTGACGTACATATTGGTATTTGATCTGTAGGTTTACCGAAGTTGCCGCGCAAATAACTGCTTTAAATGGTTAAAAACGACTTTTTTGTCTTTACCTAAACGTAAGACTTATCAAAACGGTTTCACATGTGTACCTACGACGTCCGTTTTGTGTTTCGTGTTCTTGGTACCTATTGATTGATGATATGTGATTAGCCTGAGCAATATGAAACATTTATTCAAAATAACATCGACGCAACCGAAAAACACGAAAGAGCTTAGATTAAATCAAAAAGGGAAAATACGGCCATGGGTTGAGACTAAAAGTGAGCCGCTTTTAAGTGTCTCGCAGACACTTATTTTATTGGTCGCACGTGATTCACCACTCGCTTACATTGCAAGCGAATACATCTAGCCTTCACCCCAGCCGTGGCCGTAAGCCGCTTTTGTCTGAAAGATACTTAGTGCCATAACACACGTATGAAGTAAGTAGGTAGGTAGTATGCAGATAAACAAAAATAATCACTTAGAACATAAAACGGATATAATAAAACATAATTAAATGTTTTCATCTGTAAACAACCGCTGTTTGTGGGTGGTCAGCAAAAAAGCGGTTGTTATCGGCTGACCGGAAACGATAACAACCGGCTTTAAATCTATAGTCTCCACTCAGGATGTCCCGGGTTCTAAGCCTGGTGGGGGCAAATGTTAGTATGATGAATACGAGCATTTGTACCTTAGTCAAGGATGTTATTAAATATTTCTGGATAAAATATACTTATTTAAGTATCAGGATATGTATTCTAGCATTCCATAGCACAAGCCTTACAGTGCTTACTTTGTAGTGCAGTCATTGAAGCGAAAAATACGGTCTTACCTCCGAATTTTTTACTGTGAACCGATTCGCATGAAATTTTGGAATTAGGCTCATCTTACCCTTAACTTCAAAAGTGAAAATGATCTGAACTCCGCCTATTATTTTTAAGGGGTGTTAACAACCACTTAACGGAAAAATTGACATTGAGCTATTTTATCGCTATAAAACATGTCTAATAGTAAGTGGTGAAATTGTATAGTATTTTCTAACATAATTACCTCATATTAAAATCATTTTCAACCCCTTGAAAATCTTACAACCCTTGCAAACAACCCCTAAATTGAAAAAATCACAAAAAATTACTTTGGTATGACATAAAAAGATGTAAGTATAGAGTAAGTAATATTTTATATTCTCTATAATAATTATCAAATTTTTAACCCCCTTTTAACCCTTGAAAACTACCCCTTGATAAAAAATTGTTAAATTTAAAATTCTTTTTCGTTGGCCCCTTCACTCAAATGTGTTATATATATATATGTCGTGGCCATATCGTAGATTTGATCACTTCATGAAATGCTCGAGAATTTCATGAAATGGTCGCATTTCATGAAATGTTATACTATCTATTGGCCACATCATGATGTGGTTTGAGCAGATCAATGATGAGAAATCGTTTCACGATATGGCCAACTAAACGCGTGGCTACTTCATGAAATGGCAAAAATTATTTGATCATATTGTAAAGTAGTTATATTAATTACCGGTAGAGGCGCTGCAAACGCTTTGTTTATATATTTATATGGCGGCCGCTGCCGACAATGTTGTTTCTTGCAGTGAAAAAGTGCATAATTCGTTATTTAATGATGAAGAAAGTTAACAAAAGGGTTTTCGACGAAACAAATTAAGGAGAGTAGGGTGACTACGCAAAAGAAATCTATGGACTATTACTGGCTGTCAAAATATTATATTTTGGAAACTGCGGTTGAGGTACAAAGTGCGGATGAGAATCAATGCCGTACAAAGATATACTCTAAAATTGTACTTCCAGGGCCCAAGAGGTGGTACTTGAATTTCTTTTGTAGAAAAGGTCTCTTTTAATAGTTTTTTTTTCTGGCGCTTCGCCGGCCGCTGCCGCGGCACGCTCGCTTTGCTCGCTCGGCTCGCGCGTCAAGGTCACAACACTAACCTAACCTAGTGTGAAATATTACCGTTTGGGCCCTGGAAGAACAGTTAAGCCTACTATTGTAATATGTACCAAAGTACCTTATTATTTCTAAATATTTGATAGTTTTCTAAATATAATTGTGTAAGTTCTTGACATGTTTGATGTTTAATTAAGGAAAAAAATCTTTAATTTGTTTATTTTGTTACAATAATTTGATAAATTTGTTTGTGTCATTCGGACTTAAATAACAATAAACAAATTCTTACATATACGATCCGGCCAAATGTCGATGACCATATCGTTAAATGTTGACGATTTAATGATCTGGTCAAATTAAGTTGCCTACATCATGAAATGTGACCATTTCATGAAATTCTCGAGCATTTCATGAAGTGAGCAAATCTACGATATGGCCACGACACATACATATAAAAACGTTGGTATGTATTCATGCCTACGTTTCCAAAATATATGAGCCATATTATGTATATACAGTGGAGCCCCGGTAATCCGGCCCCTGGCTAATACGGCACCCCTATAATCCGACATCGTCTATTATATACAAGTATTCGCTAATTCACGATTGAACAAGTTACAACTTGTACGCACCATCACTATTTATTATTATTACTTTTATAATAAAACGTAATCTTTCTATTGTGTTGTTTAATTTATTAAATTTGACATATATAACGAAGTATGATTTGTAATCTTATCATTGGATCTGTAATTTGTCGGATTACAAGGTACTCTTTTGTAAAAAAAATCGGACTATAGGGGGTCTTAGGCAGTACTCTATAATCCGACAAATTCGATAGTTTGACACTGCCCTGCAAAATGTTTGTCGGACTACCGGGGATCCACTTTTATCCGTGCGGTGACGGAGAAAGAATACAACTCACCGCCCCTTCTCTTCCCGTGGGTGACGTAAGAGGCGACTAAGGGATATCGGAGCTTCCATCCGCTCTGCTGGTGGTAGGGTGCCTAACACCCGCCTGGTTTGTTACCACCGTGCGCATGGTGAAAAACCCGTGAAGTGCTTCTCGCGCGTTTCGGGGTCAGCCAGCGTACAACCAGAGCTCGAGTGTAGGTTGTCGCGACGGATTCGGTCCAGGGCGAGGCATCCGTCGAACCGATGCCGGGAGGACTGCATCGACCCGCCGGCCAGGGAGACCCGTAGAAACGGCTGTCCCGCTGGCCGCCCGTGGCACAGTACAGGGGCCCGAGCGTTCCTAACCAGTTCGCGAGGCTGCCCCATCATGTCACGCATAATCTCGGGGTGGACCGTCGTGCCGGTTGGTGACCGGGGCGTGGGGTCCCGGCGGCCACTTCCGGGGGGGTGCGGGGGTCTTGTCGCGACAACGTCCACTCGTTTCACGTCTCTTTATCACTTCCATAATGGCAGCTCTCAAAACAAAATTTGGACGTACAGCGGTGCACACCCCCACGCCTTCAACGCTGTTTGAGGTCGAGTTCTGCAACATACGCGGACTCTACTCTAACCTCAATGCTGTTCACCACCATCTTGAGACAGCACGGCCAGCATTGTTGTTCCTGACGGAGACACAAATACTTCCGCCTGCTGACACAGGCTACCTTAATTATCCCGGCTACGTGCTTGAAGAGTCCTTCAAAGCGAAAGCCGGTGTATGCCTGTATGTTCAGGCG